TGGGGCTCTGGAGGGTCGAAAAGTAGGCTCGCTAAAGCGGCGGGTGCGGAGCCAGCTGGCCAGATGAGAGATGAAAAAGTGCACGCCGTAGTGGCGCGAAGCACATAAAATGCCACAACAGGCAGATAGATAGATAGATAGATAGACAGACAGATAGATAGATAGATCGATAGATAGATAGATAGGCAGAAACACTCAATCACCTTTCGATCCATGAGTGGCTTCGCTCTGCCATCCCTGATTCACAACAACCAACCTCTCCTATAGGTTTCCTATTTTTGAAACTTCCGCCACCGCCTTGTGCGGTACGAAGACTGTACGCTTAAAGTTATGTGGGTTTACAAACTTATTTGAATTATAACGTGCTTCTAAACCCTCTATAACGTCTTTATAACCTGCTTGCAAGTATGTAAAGTTTCATAACTTTTTACAAGTAAGTTATAACTTCAGGTAACCGGCTAGGTGAAGTTGTAAATGTTTAGGTAGGATATAAGTTCTTAACGAACTTATCGGAAGTATCTTATCTAAAGATAACTTTTCATAACTATGTTAAGAGATTTAACATAACTTCTTAGCAAAAGTTATCATAAGTTACAGAAAGTTATAAAAAGTTAGAAAACGTTATAAAAAGTTAGAAAAAGTTATAAAAAGTTAGAAACAGTTATAAAAAGTTACAAGATGGAATTTGTGCAGTATGTTTAGATACCTTGAGGAATGTTTTCCTGAAAAAGATAGTTGCAAAGATGCTTTCCCGGAAAGGTTATGGTTCCCAAGAAGAAGTTTTTTAAACGACTGAAGTGTGAAAAGAAAGTTCTTGTGTGTGAAGAATTTGATCTGTAAAGGTAGTTCCTGTAAAGGATACGGTCTGCAAAGGCAGTTCCTGTAAAGGATAAGGTTTGCAAAGACAGTTTCTGCAAAGGATATGGTTTCTAAGGACAGTTCCTGCAAAGGATATGTTCTGCAAAGATACTTCCTGAAAAGGATATGTCTCTGAAGACAGTTCTTGCAAGGGGTCTTGCGCTCTGTGTTTTGATATGGACACAGCGTGGCATGTGATATAGCTGATTTGCTCAAAACGATAGCTCGCGGTGTCCATTGGCGCTCGAAAATGTCAACGGATTCCTTTATGTTGGCACTTGCCGCTGCTGCCTCGCCTTTGCTTGAGCTTCAGGAACTATACAGGAACTATACAGGAACTATGCAGGAACTATACAGGAACTATGCAGGAACTATACAGGAACTATGCAGGAACTATACAGGAACTATACAGGAACTATACAGGAACTATACAGGAACTATACAGGAACTATACAGCAACTTTACAGGAACTATACAGGAACTGTTTGATGAAAACAGTTCCCGACAGAGAAAGTTTGAAACATAATAAATTAACGGAAAAACTGGTTTGAAGAATAAGAATCCCAAAACGAAACCATTTGCCAAAAGAAAATAACGTTTAAATCTGTCAAGAATTCACATCAAATGTGAATTTCCCTACTGAAAAGGAACACTTCTAAACAGAACCCACATCAAGTATGATAATTCCTGAAAAAGTCATAATCTGAAAAAAAATCCTGGCAAATGCGCCAGTTCGTGAAAGGGAGAAAATCTGAAAAAAATATCGCATCAAATGTGATAATTCCTGAAAAACAAAACGCTGATAAAATATAACATCAAATGTGAAAGTTCCTTGAAAAATAGAAAACATGATATCATGTATGTTGACCGTATTACGTTATTATTAAGTGTGATCCGCAACAACTTTGAAACCAACACTGCAAAGCCTTTAAAAGTTATAAAAAGTTATAAAAATTTATAAAAAGTTACAAAAAGTTACAAAAAGTTATAAAAAGTTACAAAAAGTTACAAAAAGTTATAAACAGTTATCCAAAAACTTACAACTAAGTTATCCAAGTTAACATAACTTCTTTTCATAGTTTTGATAAGTCATGTTAACTTCCAACATAAATTATGTAACTTCTTTATATCTAGGCTAAGTCTGTAAAGTCTTCTATCTTAAAGCGTGCAGTCTTCGTACTACTGGTATTATCATTTTATATCAAGCGTGGCCAGTCCATCTGTAGTGGCAACCTTCAAAGTAAATCGCGACCCATTCCTAGTCATATCTTTTTGGACCCACCAATTTCAAACATGGGGCTTGAGGAACTCTTCATCCAAGTACTATACATCAAAGTGGCTTCCGGGTTGCATGTGAAATAACCCACTGAGACTAATATCATCCTCACTTAGATCAGGGTTGTTCCCACCTCAGAAAAGAAGGGAAGAGAATGGCTTGGCAGTGAGGTGATGTTACCAATGTTCCCCGTGTGAAAACTGGAAATATGAAGGACACATCATCTATAACACCCTGGACACGTTTTTCCATCTACAGTATTTTGCAGTTATGGCCCCTGACCAGTTATACATGGTTATAAATGTGTATTTTTGATAGGCTTATTCTTCCATAAATGTTTGGTTATATATTTGCTGACATCCATATCTGGTATTTCGGGCCATAAACTATGCTATATTTCTATCATCTCACATGCCTCACGCCAAGCGTCTTGTCCACCGTAATGGCCCCCAGGGAGGACATGATGCGGTCCAAAATCTCCTCCGGACGCTCGGTACAGTTATGGCCATGGCTAGTTATAACTGGTTATTTCTATGGGATCCATTCCATAAATGGTGGGACTTGTTAGTACTTATAACATCTTATAACATCTTATAACTGGTATTTCTGGCGGCCATAACTGAACCATGAATGCTCATCAACTTTTATCATCAACTTACATCAGTTTTATCATCAGTGTTCATGGACAGTGTGCACCATCCTTCCCCAACTGGACATACGAAAAAAACAATCTGCACATCTCCAAACCATCTCCGGACAAATCCGGAAAAAAAACATGGAGACATCTGTGTGCAGATCAACAACAATCAGCCCATGTTTTCCCAAGGAAAAGCCATCTCCAAGCCATCCGAGTCGGTTCGAGGGTGTCCTGTGCAAGGTCCAAGCCCTTGGACTTGCAGTAGGCCTTCAGTTCCTTCAGATTCAACTTGCCATCCTGTCAGGTGAGGCCCGTTTGGTCAGCTGTTGGGTCTTTCATGTGGTATACAACGAACTAGATACAGTAGGGGGTTTCGAAGCAACAAACATAGCTGGGAGGGCAACTACTGTGGCACGTGGGAACGAATCCATGTGGGATTTAGAGATTTCACGACTTTTCACTGACTTTGAAGATCTGATGCTTCTGAAATTGGACACGTTAATGAAAGGTCCATATTACAGTAACTAACCTGGGTAAAACAATGCCATTTTTACCACCCATGACTGGGAATGGTAAACAACATACCACCCAACAAAAAATAGTGACTTTTCGGGATGGTGTGTATCTTCCATTCTTTTAGCCACATGCCATATTCGAATTATTTAAGTATCAAGTAGATGTCGGAATTTCGCGTATCCTCTGGAGATTTACACCTCCATCTCATCCTGGAAGGCGGCCATGATCCATCAGTTGAGAGGTATATGGCTGATGCGAAGAGATGGGAAGAATTAGCTATTGATTCGTGAGTGCAGTTGATGCCAAATCCATATATATATATGGTCGGTATGTATATATATATATATATATCAAAACAACAATTGTTGGTTCAATCACAATGAAGAAATTCCCGAACTGGGGCACCAGCCTGACATTCTTGGCAGTTCCACTACTAAGTGGCTTACAAAAAAAAAAAAACATAGTTTTAGGGCCCCCATATCCGAATTGATGGAGGTTACTACCATAGTTATACCCATAAATTTCAAGCCTGGCCTACACCCCCAAGTACCACTTCACTACTCCTACTAATCATAGTTAGTTCATCCATTTATAATTAGATGGGATAACCCGCAAATCGGTGACTTACGTTCACCAAGGCTATCAATCACAGTCATTATATAACTGGCCGGTACTCCCAAGTTGCGTCCCGATAAAACTTCTCCCGTTAAATTCCATTAAAAACCCATTAAATATCACCATTCTATCACCATAATATCACCATATTCTATCACCACTTATGATCCAAACACTGTCTGAGAAGGTACTTAACCCCGTAAATCATACTTACCCCAAGTATTCCTAAGAAGGTACTTGGATCCATGGGGACCATTATATCCCATGGAAATTCAACCATTGGACGATACAACTTCTCGTGTCCCATGAAATGAAGCAGCGCCTTGTCTTTGTCGAAGCTGCTGAACTCCTTCTTCCGTTCCTCCAACTTCCTGGGCTTGGACGCGCTTTGAAAAGGACGTGACACATGCGAAATGATAGTGCAAGAATGTGCTAGATATGCTGCATTGAATTTCTAAGAGATTCTTCTATCCTTTTGAAGTTGCTAAGTATTTACCGAAAACCCATCCCAGGCAGCACGACGAAAGTTGCTCTTCAAATTCAGCGTCCCCATGGGATGTGTCCAACCATTTAATCATCATTTAATAGGAGAACTGATGATGTCTGATGATTAACCATTCCTTATGGATCAAACACTGCCAGAGAAGGTACTTAAGACACCCCATAGTCATCATACCCAGTCGTACTTCCTGTGAAGGTATTTAGATCCATAGGGATTAGGTTAGGGGGGTATACTATTTTCAGATAACGCTAAATCTAAAACCAATACAGGCTCCATTCGGAATGGTTTGTCGAGAGTGGCCGCCAGAGGTCTCACCCGGTGCTTGCCGCAGTCTCCATCATTGAGGTATTGATTTCCGGCTGATCATTATTGAAACCAAATTCCAGTATGGTCCATCATCATTTGCATTTACATTTTCTGATTATTCTGCATATCTCCACTGGTCTATTAATCTTACAATATCCACACAGCATGCCCACCAAATATTCCTATTTTGTCCCATCATATCCTCATTTTGTATCCCCGTTTGATGGTTTATATCACCATCGCCAAAGAAAATCCCTTTAGAAGGGTGCATCATCGGTACATACCAGGAAAATCCCATAAAATCCTCACCAAAATCACCACCAAAATCAGTCTCCATCCACTTAATCTACATAGATATGGGAAACAACTACCATCTAAGGATCAATTTCCGAACGAGAAACCACTGGCTTTCCATATCCACATCAGTTAACCCCAGGATACTGTAACTCCCCATGAAATCCACACACATATATATATATATATGCTCACGCCCCCTCCCATGATCTACCCAATACGTATCTCCATTTTATTATATATATGTATATATTATATTATATAATTAACTACCTACATAGAATCCTATAAATAACCATGATCCAAAAAAATGAGTGTGTTCACACCGCGATATAATATGACTGGTTACTTGCCCATAGCAATGTATCTACCGTTAAACATTAAATATCGACATGGATTTACCCATCAAATGTCCACCCGGCAGATTTCATGTGGATTCGAGGCATTGTCATAATGTGGCTAGTAACCTTTTTTTTGCTGGTGAAACCGCTCGATTTCCTGTTTTTTTCTGCTTTGACCACAGGTTGTTATGGTTGGTTAGATCATATTCAATCACCATGTTTTTGCTAGAATGATGTTCAATTTGTTCAATCCAAATCCAATCCTTTAGCCTTTTTTATTCACTCATTCATGATCAAATGTTCCATGTTTCACCTTGAATTCCCATAGATTTCCATAGATCTCCATAGGTTTCTATCCGACTTTCCATCGGACTTTGACCTCCCCAGGACCTGGCCCCTCGGCCAAGCGTCTCCAGCGCGGTGGCCTTGAGCTCCTGGCGCTGCTTCGCCTGCTGCAGGGATTGGCCCAGGCGTTCCATGGCGCGGAACCTGGGCTTCGCGGTGAAAACCCGGGTGCGCCGGGTGAAAGGTGTGGAAAATCTGCAGGAAACTCATGGGGTTTGGAGGTTTGGACCGCTCCAAAGATCCACCCTGCGGGTTTCCGGGGAAATCTGGGAAATGGAGGGGGGTGAAACTCTAGATCTTACATAAAAAAACAATCCCATGATCCAAAGGTCAGATCTTTGCAATTCAAACTGGTATTTCAAGGGCTGGTTGATACAAAAAATGGCCCGAAGTAGCAGTTTTTGATGTCAGGAATGTAAGACCCCATTGACGGAATGTATAACCCAATAATAACAATAGAAATAACTGGTAAAAAGCTTTAATTGTACTGCAAAACCATTAATATGTTTAATCTTTGCTAGTCCACAAAGAATTGCTACCTGTTGCTGGTTATTGTTATTTTATGTTTCGCACAATATACCCCAGAACTGTGGGTAACTATGGTGATATATCAACCCAGAAACAATGGGAAATCAATGGAAAAATTAGGGAATATCCATCTACAAACGAAGGTTTCATGGTGATTTGTTGGGAATAGAATGGGATTTAATTGGGGTATTTTGATTTGACCAACTAAAACGGGTTCGAACCCGTCTGGCGGGTGCAGTTGATGTTGCTTTTATGGATATGCCTATGGTTGTAAACTTCCATAAATTGGGATATAACCCCTACAGCTATGGTAATAATATTCAGTGTGGAAAATTAACCAATGGTATATAGATTTTTTAGCTAGGGAAACCATCGGTTTTCCACATCTATGTGAGTTTACCCTAGGGTACCTGTTATGACTTGGGACTTTTCATGCATTTTTTCTAGGTGCTTGGAGGGTCGTCGTTGCCCGCTAAGTTGGTGCAAATAACTCCCATGCGACTAGATGCATCGGTAAGAGAACCCCTCGGGTCTCATGGCATGCTTCGGGATTCTAAACCCACTTATAACTGGGGTGTACCACCTTGCACTACATGTATATACGGTTGATTATGTATATATTGTATGTAGTATATGTTGTATACATTTAGTATGTATAATATAAATAGTTGTATATATATATATATGTGTGTGTATACAAATGGGTATATTTAGTATTCTACATTGTTTAGTGTAAATGATAAAGTTGTAATGTAATGAAATACACACAGTTCTGCCATTTATGGTGATATTTAGATCTGCATGTATCATTGTAGGTAATACGTACACATATATATAATATATATTATGTTATAGATAATACAATGCCTTTGCATAGCAATATAATGTATACATGTATCTATATTTATATATACAAATGCATCCATATATATATATAATATAAATGCATCATCATCATCATCATCATCATCATCATCAGGTATACGGTACCTTTCCTGGCGGTCTAGGCGAGCCTGAAAGATATGCTCCTGAAATTCACTGTTGCAACTTTGGAAAATGGCGTGGGTTCAGTTGAAGTCGTACCTGTCCAATGTCTGGAATGTTTCCGAGTCAATATTTGGGGGTTTTCTCTTGTCATCCCCTCAAATCCAAGGTAGGGGTAGAAACGTTGTTTTCCAAGGCTTTTGTCTTCAGTCATATAATCCCTTGTCAAGTTTGGGTATGATGACCCAGCATGGGGTGCAAATAGCCCCACAGAATTGGTCGCGTTTAGTACAAGCCTACAAGCCATCTATTTCTTGGGGGAAGGAATGCGGAGCCAATGATACTTTAGCCACAAAAAGGGGATGTTCACATTTCAAAACCCAGCAAATGTGGAAAACATAGCTGTCTCACTGCTTCTTTTGTTTCATCCAAATCACCTCTTGGATCGTTCTGGCTATCCCCTCCGCAACAAACATATAGAACCGGTCGAAACTATCAAATTAATACAAAAAAGATCAAACAAGTATGATTTGATACATATTTCCAACTTGTTTTCTATCTCTTTTAAGGGGGGTGCTATAGAAATCTTAGGCGCATCAGCCCACATCGGCCAAGGTAACGCCGTGGCCAACTTGGTCGAGAGTTCCATGACTTCACGCTTCACCTGTGCCGTCGTCCACGTCTTGGAAGGCACAGTGTTTTTTGGGGGTTGGTGACGTGGGTCAAAATGGAAACTATAATATACTATAATGTTATTAGTGTATAGGTTCTATTTATTGGTGATTACAGTCTAGATCCTATAATATCTATATAGTTTGGTTGGCGTTTACAGTGTTTACAGTCCAGATCGTATAATATTATATGATGTGAATATTCGTGATACCTAGGCTATAATGAACAATTGATCATCAATATGCGTGACTCCTATTGGAATCCTGATGCTGGGATTATTAATGAGGTCCACAATCACAAATATATATTCTCAAGATAGAAATTATGAAGCCAACATAAGCTGGGAAACACCTCGAAGCAAGGATTTAGATCTTTAGGTCCGATTCATTTCCTGGCTGGTGGTTTCCACCCGTCCCAAAAATATGCCCGTCATCTCAACCAATGATCCCAGGTTGTGAAGAAACAAGAAATTGATTGAAACCTCCAGGACGCAATGAACCTTTGAATGGAGGTTTCCTGAAATAGGGCAGTTCCCCAGTTCTCATCCATGTTATTCTATTTATTTTCCATTGTAAACCATCCAGCTATCGAGGTACCCACATGGCTATGGCAACCCAACAAATACCTGGGAATTGCAATGATCCCAGCCTGGGAATGCGTTGGAACTTCTTCGAATCCACGAACGAACTGCTTGGAACTTCTTCGGAAAGTGAAAACCATTGTTGATTGATGTTGATTAAAGTTAATCCCACTTGATCCAAGCTATCGTTTAAAAATGTTTAAAATACTTGAACTCACAAAGGAAAAGGTATCAAACAGCGACAAAGCTGTGTGCAGCCTAATTCCACTAGGAAGTTCATCTCACGTAGTAAGTGCCTGATAACCCTGATGAACAAGTCCATAACAAGTGAGGATATCTAATCTCTAAATGGGTTCTGGTGGTTAACTTGAGTAAAACGATAGGATCCGCCATCCTCAAATTTACCATCAATGGGGTGGTGTAAAACATCAAAATATGGGTGCTTTATATTGCTACACGAACATTATATGCGTTATATCCCCACTTCCAAACCAATTGTATTCCCGGGATGCTCCTTCAAGCACAACATACAGGCTTCTCTGGAAACAGGCTACAGGCTACCCCCCAAATTTGATGATGAATCACAATTGTCTCTACTAAAGTGACTACTCCAATGGCTAAACTCCATATATATATATATTATATATATATATTATATATATATAAATCCACCATGTTTCCCAGCTTAAACCGAAAAGTCTTTTTTTCCTAAGTGAAACCAGAAGAATTATTAATTTTTCGTAGGTAAAATTTTGAAAAAACACGATCTTATTCCCTATCCCTGAAGTCATTGCCACCACCTTGCGGAAGGATTCCGCATCGGCCACATCCTTCTGCTTCCTCGGATCCCGAGATGCGGAGATCTTCCCGAGATCGACATGTTTTATTTTTCCCTAGGAAACCATGGGAAACATGTGGAGAAAAAATGGTTTTACATGGTTTCATTAGGAACATGATGAACATTATAAACATTGATAGACCAGTTGTATCAATTTCTGGTCATTCCATACAAGTAGCTATGTGAATTTCATTGAATTTCATTGGTCATTCCGTACAAGTGCGCAGAAAATCGTCCAACAATTTCCAACCATAGATTTTTGGCAGTTCCATGTTGGTTTTCAGAAATACATGGGTATGGTCAATGAATGAAGCCCCAAAGACAGACGGTTTCATACCAAAAACAATCAAGGGTGCAGTCGCCTTGCTCCCATAATTTTGGAGTCATAGTGATATCCATGTAGTTGGATTCAGTTTGCTGATGCTCTTGCAGAAAGGACTCCCGTTCCAATGGGGCTTTCAGCAACTGCTCCACTGCGAACTTGCTGGAACACTTGAAACACGCCAACCCCATCTTAACCAGGTTTTCTAAAATTCATGTAACACCTGCAGTATCTTTCAACCGCTGTTCCCCATCAAATATATGAACTGGTAGGTTTTGCCCACCCAGCCTATCCGAAACCTGAAGTACCCACGTCCATGTGCCGAATCCCTTCAAGGTTCTCCATGATTTTCAGTCGCGTGCTCTTTGTACCTGCAAGACAAGTGCAACATCCATGTTTTTGACAGAGGGAAGATTGCAATTTCTGGGCCAAGTGTCAAAAACCAGTACCACTACCACTGGTGAATGAACATCATTATGGAAAATCACCATTTTTAATGGGTAAACCAACATAAATGTGCCATTTTCAATAGCAAACTGTTTGTTTACCAGAGGGTACCACTGGTGAACACCACAAAATATACCCCCAACATCCCCCAACAATGGTCGTTATAGGCATCGATCCAAAGCCAAACACCATCAGCTTCTCAGCTTCTCCACCTATCTTCTGGTAAACTCATTGCGGTGTCCCAGCTCCCTACTCCCCGCAAAATTGTATAAATAAGAAACATGGCTTCCCAGAAATTTGAAATATAGCCTCCCTCTGTTGAACAACACAAGAAGAAACACAACACCAATGATGGTTGGTTACTGTAGTTCCGAAAAATATCACAAAGAGCCGAACATCTACCATGAGATCTGTCGACAACAAATGCCAAAAAATACTAAGTTACTCAAGGTCCCCCACTGTGGTTTTCTAACTTACCGCACTTTTCCTCCCAACTTTTCCTCCAATACCCAAACTCCGACCTGTTGAAGGGAAAACCTACAGGAAACCATCATCAATTTAGGGCCTTGGAAACCTTTTCTGTGAAGCAACCAATTTTGGATGGTGGACAGGACCCTCTTAGAACGATCCATGTCTAGAAACCCCTGCAGCCCCACCCAAAGCCCCAAAATTAGGACTGTCCATTGTTTGGACCTCGCATGTTTGATCATTTTCCGTCCAATTCTGTCCGATTCGAAGCTAGGTGAGACACCGAAGCTTTCAAGCTTCACTGACATCTGCAAGGCTGGCCCCTGGCTTTGCCTGGCAGACTGCGGCCAACAACTGTCCGTCAGGTATGACCACTCGGAGACTTTGGAGTGGAACCTGCAATTCACGCGCGATGCGTTTCTGCGTATTCCAGGCAGGATCAGATGGACTGGCACGCAAACGTATCGTTTCTTGCCCAGTGAGACCGGAGCAAGTCAGCAGCATAGCATCATCTTGACGAGCACACTCTAGTTGTAACACAAGGTTTTGACCAACTGACACATCTGCAACGTACCATGTCCCTGGATCAGGAGTCGGAAGGTTGCATTGTCCAGACGTGTCCCATCCGCAAGCCTCAGCATTGCCATCACTTCGGAGAAGTACCGTGTGATAGGCGCCGGCGGAAACCTGGGTATATGAAATTCCGTCATCCAATGGTGGAATGATGCATTGTTCATGATAATTACTTCCACACGCCACAGCAATGCCATCACTTCGGAGAAGTACTGTGTGACCGTCGCCGGCAGAAACCATGGTATATGAAATTCCGTCATTCAATGGTGGAATGGCACATTGTCCAAACGAATTCTGTCCGCAAGCCACAGCATTGCCATCACTTCGGAGAAGCACTGTGTGATTGGCGCCGGCAGACACCTGGGTATATGAAATTCCGTCATCCAATGGTGGAATGGCGCATTGTTCGACCGACTTCTGTCCGCAAGCCACAGCATTGCCATCACTTCGGAGAAGCAGTGTGTGATTGGCGCCGGCAGAAACCTGGGTATATGAAATTCCGTCATCCAATGGTGGAATGGTACATTGTCCATGCCAATTACTTCCACACGCCACAGCATTGCCATCACTTCGGAGAAGTACCGTGTGATTGGCGCCGGCAGAAACTTGGGTATATGAACTTCCGTCATCCAACAGTGGAATGGTGCATTGTCCAACCGAATTCTGTCCGCAAGCCACAGCATTGCCATCACTATGGAGAAGTACTGTGTGACCGCAGCCGGCAGAAACCTGGGTATATGAAATTCCGTCATCCAATGGTGGAATGGCACATTGTCCAAACGAATTCTCTCCACAAGCTACAGCATTGCCATCACTTCGGAGAAGTGCTGTGTGACAATTCATTTTTGCTGGATGATTGGGGCAAAACGGCTCCCATGTATACAATTTTGTGGGTTTCCATTTTGGGTCCACTACCCAGTTTTGGAGAAACCAGTTCATCATTCCTATGACAAGTTCCGTCTGTCACCATCAGTCTCTCTGAAAGCTCCATAATTACATGCATATTGAAAATAAGCTGATGATATTTGTTCAATAAATAACTAAATCTCGCTAATTTTTCCAAAGATATCGGATGGTTATCCACTTTTAAGATATGGCTTTGTCTCAAGATAGGGCACCCCAAATTTTGATGATCATGATGTTCCTTCAAAATGATTCAAAATGGCCATAGGAACCGGGTTCGCCAAAGCGACCCTTGTGAACCAGTGCAACTTTAAAAGGAATGTCCGCTATGTGCAATGCAAAGACGTCATCGGTTCATCGGATCTGCTGGGATTTCACCAGCCAGGAAGATCTATGTTCAGCTTGAAACTCTAAAGTTGGTAAAATGCTATGGAAATCTATGGAATATGGAGGTTTCCTAAATTTGGGGTACCCCAAAATGATAAAATGGATGGTTTAATCCTATTGACATGGATGATGATTTGGGGGTACCCCCATTTCAGGAACCCTCCATATTTAGATATAGCAAAACCATTGAACATTGCGACTTTGACCAACCAAAATTGGGATTTCATATGATTTACTCGCTGGGATATTGGCATATTGGGTCTGAATGGTGAACTGGATAGTTAACGATACTTAAATAACTTATATAATTTGTCTAACTTATATAACTTTTATAATGGTCCGACCCAACTATTACTAAACTCCACCATTCTATGGTCCCACATATGTGTAAATCCCGCATTCAACCACAGTTTCTGGCGTGTGTTTAGTGGGGGATGGGATTACAGTCTGTACCCTCTGGCTGAACACAGCGATAGAATATGGCCCATGTGTAAAGGATTCACCTACATATGATAATTTTCAACAGCCATGATAAATTTTCGGAGCGTATGTATATGTAATTGTATGTACCAGTATTACAGTATATTGTATATTAAATCATTATTGATAATTATTCAAAATTATCGATAATTATTGATAATGATTGTGCATAATACAGATTGTGCCCGCCCGTGACAATGCCCGTCCTACCGAATCCTACCACTACACAATTTCAGCTTGATGCAACAAAATCTGGAACCAAGATTAAACACAAGTACTTTTTAGAAAGGATTGTCATAGCATCATAGAAGTCTGCAGAAAAATGCCATCCAAAGTCAACATATTTTAACATATTCTCAATTTGGTTTCTGATCTCCGTATTTCAGTTCGATATCCGAACAATGACTCCTTCGATCCGATTCTATCCCTATGGGCATGATTCGGTCTCGCCAGCTCCCTATCAAAAACACGGAAAAACACAGAAAAACATGGACGGATGATGGCTGGTCTAACAACATCCAAACTTAAGCCCCTGCAGCCCCAAAACCCGAAAGCCGGACGGCCGGACTGTCCATTGTTTGGACCTCACATGTTTGATCATTTTCCATCCAATTCTGTCCGATTCGAAGCTAGCTGAGACACCGAAGCTTTCAAGCTTCACTGACATCTGCAAGGCTGGCCCCTGGGTTTGCATGGCAGAAAGCGGCCAACAACTGTCCGTCAGGTAAGACCACTCGAAGACTTTGGAGTGGAACCTGCAATTCACGAGCGATGCGTTTCTGCGTATTCCAGGCAGGATCAGATGGACTGGCATTCAAACGTATCGTTTCTTGCCCAGTGAGACCGGAGCAAGTCAGCAGCATAGCATCATCTTGACGAGCACACTCTAGTTGTAAAACAAGGTTTTGACCAACTGACACATCTGCAACGTACCATGTCCCTGGATCAGGAGTCGGAAGGTTGCATTGTCCAGTAGTGTTCCCCCCGCAAGCTACAGCCCTGCCATCACTTCGGAGAAGTACTGTGTGCTCTTCACCGGCGGAAACCTGGGTATATGAAATTCCGTCATCCAATGGTGGAATGATGCATTGTTCATGCCAATTACTTCCACACGCCACAGCATTGCCATCACTTCGGAGAAGTACTGTGTGACCGTCGCCGGCAGAAACCTGAGTATATGACATTCCGTCATCCAATGGTGGAATGGTGCATTCTCCAGACAAATTCCTTCCGCCAGCTACAGCCGTGCCATCACATCGGAGAAGTACCGTGTGATAGGCGCCGGCAGAAACCTGGGTATATGAAATTTCGTCATCCAATGGTGGAATGTTGCATTTTCCATGCCAATTACTTCCACACGCCACAGCATTGCCATCACTTCGGAGAAGCACTGTGTGATTGGTGCCGGCAGAAACCTGGGTATATGAAATTCCGTCATCCGATGGTGGAATGGCACATTGTCCAAACCAATTCCTTCCACACGCCACAGCATTGCCATCACTTCGGAGAAGTACTGTGTGATCTTGACCGGCAGAAACCTGGGTATATGACATTCCGGCATCCAACAGTGGAATGGTGCATTGTCCAACCGAATTCTGTCCACAAGCCACAGCATTGCCATCACTTCGGAGAAGAACTGTGTGATTTTGGCCGGCAGAAACTTGGGTATATGAAATTCCATCATCCAATGGTGGAATGGTGCATTGTCCACCCCCGTTGCTTCCACAAGCCGCAGCATTTCCATCACTTCGGAGAAGTGCTGTGTGAAACTCCATGTGCAGAATGCCTTTTTTTTTGCCAGATGATTGAGGCAAAACGGCTCCGATGTATACAATTTTGTGGGTTCCCATTTTTGATCCCCAGCCCAGTTTGGAAAAACCTGCTCATCGTTCCTACAACAAGTGCGTTCGTTCTATCACGATCAGTCTTTCTTTGTTAAAGCTCCTGGGTTCGATTTCCTTTTTGTGTTCTTGAGAACAAGGTCGGGCAACTTCAATGGGAACGTTTTTTTTGCAATGTGTGTGGAGGGAACCGTCGTGATTCCGGGTTTCCAGCCAAGACCAAGTGAAGTACAAGGTGGTACCCCTCCAGTTATAAGTTGGTTTATAAACCATAGTAACTAGTTCGA